GTTAATAATCTGGAGAATCTCAAGGGGGTAGAAAAGTAGAAAATAGCAGCAATCCTTTGGTTTAGGTTTATTTAAAGATCTTTTATGATTTACTTGTACTGATCATCACCAGCTGTGTGACAGTGGGGATATCACCTAACCTCTTGCAGTTTTCTTCATCCCTAAAATGAAGTATGAACTGGGTAATCAATCATTATGGCTCCTTCCACTTATAAGCAGCCGGTTATTCTGATTAAATTTGCTCTCCTTGATATGTGACATAGTGGAATTGTTCTTTTTGATGAAAAATAAGCATTTGGGGATACTGGAGCCAATCAGCCATGATGTATTTTTCTCTTTTTCAAGTTAACTAGATCCTATATGGGCATCAAGATTAGTTAAGTATGACCTCATTAATGGTATGCTTTAGTAACTGTTCTAACCTGCCCAGACTTAAATATGTGTAAGTGGAGCAGAAGAAGGGACAGAAAAGGCCTAAATCAAAATCTTTGATTCTCCTTCTGTCCTTGAAAATCCAGCCATGAGTCCAATCACAGAACATAGTAGCTGACAATCTTTTTTTAAACTCCTCCACTATAGGCACATACATACACATCCTTTCCCTTTGAAATTTTATAAAATAATAGCTGTTTTGACTGTTTATGATGTGTACTACACTAAGCATTTTATGTGGATTCTTTCATTTTCTTCTCATAACCCCATAAGGAAAGTATTATTATTGTCCACATTTTATGTGAGAGGCAACTGAGACTTAGCTAGATTATATATGTATAAGTGGCATTCACACGCCCATCTGTCTGCTCTTAACCACACCTCTATATTGCTTCCTATTCCAGAACCAGCCAAACAAAAATGGAGACAGTCTCCTTATTTGATTACCAGCAGTATCATATCTATTAATCACAAAATGTTCAGTATAACTTTCCTGGAAATTTCATATCAGTGTAATTCTAGAAAGAATTTACTGCTTAGATTTATATAGTTGGGGGTATACAAGTAGATATACAAGTACAGATTTTATTAAATGTTCCCTGCAGACTTCCCTTTTCATAGCAATATGTAATAAGGACTTTGGAGCATAAGAGCTAGAAGCTTTAAAATATCAACTGTGATTGCTCTTGTAAAATAATACCTTTAAAAAACTGAACTGGTCTTGTTCTTGAAATTAACTAATTGTGTTTATGTTCTTTAAAGGGAAGATAAAAATTCAAGATATTTTAGCATGCAGCTTCCTAGATGATTTATTGGAGGTAAATATTTTTAAACTACGTAATTATATCACTTGACAGTTGCTATATTCTAAGTATATCTCTGTGTTCTTTTAGCTAAGGGATGAAGAACTGTCCAAGGAGAGTCAAGAAACAAATTGGTTTTCTGCTCCTTCTGCCCTAAGGGTTTATGGTACGTTCCTATCACAATGCTAAAATTTGAATTATCCATTCATCAGGTAACTGGTATTGAGAGAACAGTTTTATACATAGACTAGTTTTCCTTAAGATCAAAATATTCTAATTACCTAAATATCTAGTATTCTAGATTACTAAAATTTACTTGTTTGAATACCATTATTTTAACTTTTTGGAACCTATTTAAGTTACTGTTCTTTTTTACTTTTCAATAGAACAATGTAATTTGATCCTTTCTTGTTGACTCAGCATCATTATGAACATCAACTATTGTCTTGCTTTGTTATAAAATGCTGTTCCCAAGGTCCACAGAGGGAGGTATTCAAGGGATTGGTTTTCTCTTTTATTGAATTTCACTAGTCTGCTATATTATCCTATTTAGTGGTCTTCTGACTCCTAGATGCATTCTTGATCTCTGCTTTCAAGTGCTAGCTTTTCAAATGTTTTTCTTGACCGCTACCCTCCCTTTAATTTACAAACCTAGAAATGTTCTAAGAGGTTGCAAATTGAAAACAAATAATGATATAAGTGAAATAGCCCAAAGGCCATGGTCTTCATGATGGCTTTTCTTTGATTCTAGTTTAACAGTTGTTCTGATTGAGATTGTAAAGATAGCTGATATTACTGCACATAGGTGACTAACCTAACTATAACATGATTGGGTTGAAAATCAAAATATTAACCAATAAAAAGAACTTTTTGTTAATGTTCTTTTGTCTTGTCATTAAAATTTTATTTTGGTCATGAGTGTCTTTCTGTTATCTTTCTTCTCAAGGCCAGTATTTGAATCTTGATAAGGATCACAATGGCATGCTCAGTAAAGAAGAACTCTCCCGCTATGGAACAGCAACCATGACCAATGTCTTCCTAGACCGTGTTTTCCAGGAGTGTCTCACTTATGATGGAGAAATGGTAGTAGTTTTAATCTATTGATAAGTTTTAAAACTTTATGCTCCCATAGTTTCCACAAGCCTGTTTCTTGATGTGATAACACCATTATTTACATCAGTGTGTAACAGTATCTTTAAATTACTTGAGATTCAGAGCCTTTGGTCTTAAGGTAAATTCACTTAAAGACATTTGCCTTATGAGCTCAGGGCAAATAAAAAATTTTAATATTTTGTTCATTTCATTGTCAGTCCACCTATTGTATAGGTGTGTGGACTAATGAAAAAAAAAAAAGCCAAAACATTAAATCCTATGGATTATTTATTTTCACATAGATGGTTTAGTCATTAAATTACCAGGTCAGATAAGTACCATATATGCCATGATTTAAATCTCAGAATCAAGTTTTATTGTCTCTGTAAGTGGTTATATTAGTAGCTGAAGATAACTAGTACGTACTTGTCCTTTTATCACAACAATGTGAAATACCTGAGCAGGAAAATTCTAAATAGCATTTTTAAATCACCATTCTTGCTATTAGAAACATATATTAAGAATCTGATACATTTTCCAAACCAGTGATGCTTAAGAAATAGTCATATTGTCAGAAGAGAATGGGGTTTTACATTTTTTCATTTAGCTTTAATAACAGTTTGCTAAATAACACCATTGTTAGCCAACAGCCAAGGAAAAGGGGGAAAAGGCATAAAAAGTCTGCTTCGTGACTCTCACAGCTGTTGAAAGTAGACAGTTAGGGGCTTGTAGTACACTAACTCCTGGTGAATAAAGAATATCAGAGGCAACAAACTATGGATGGAGTTAGACCATGAAGAAGCAACTTTATTTATTTTTTTTTTGAGACAATGTCTCACTCTTGCCCAGGCTAAAGTGCAGTGGCATCATCATAGCTCACTGCAATCTCAAACTCCTGGGCTCAAGCAATTTTCCCACCTTGGCCCCACAAAGTGCTAGGATTACAGATGTGAGCCACCATGCTTGGCCATAAGAAGTTACATTTTTTTTTAACTCTTTGTACTCTAATTTATGCAGGAAAAAATTCTTAATTCTAGCCTAAAAAATCTTTTTCAAGAATATAAAATTTTTTCTAAGTGAGAATCTCAAGTATTCTACTTTTAACCATACATAAAAGGTAATCTGTGAGTATCCCTCCTTTTTCACAGGGAAAGTTTTCTGTTCTCTTCATGTCTTTCTAGCCTACATTTGCATTCTTTTGCCCTTTTTTTGGATGAGAAGGTGTCAGCTCACTGTAGAATATCTGGTAGTCTCAAGACGGCTTCTTATTGGAAATGATCTGAATTTAAAAAATTTTGAATATTTCAAAATGTCAACTTAAATATACTCTTCTAGGCCAGGCACGGTGCCTCGCACCTGTAATCCTAGCACTTTGGGAGGCAAGGCAGGAGAATTGATTGAGCCCAGGAGTTCAAGACCAGCCTCGGCAAAATAGCAAGACCCTGTCTCTAAAAAAATTTTTTTTTTTTTTAAATGAGCTACGCTTGATGGCATGTCAAGCGCTATCATAGCTATGCTATGATCATGCCGCTGCACTCCAGCCTAGGTGGCAAAGTGAGACCCTGTCTTTTTTTTTTTTGAGACAGAGTCTCACTCTCTTGCCTGGGCTAGAGTGCCGTGGCGTCAGCCTAGCTCACAGGAACCTCAAACCCCTGGGCTCAAACGATCCTCCTGCCTCAGCCTCTCAGGTAGCTGGGACTACAGGCATTCGCCACCGTGCCTGGCTAATGTTTTCTATTTTTAGTTGTTTGGCTAATTTCTTTCTATTTATAGTAGAGATGGGGTCTCACTCTTGCTCACGCTGGTCTAGAACTCCTGACCTCAAGCAATCCTCCCGCCTCAGCCTCCCAGAGTGCTAGGATTACAGGCGTGAGCCACCGTGCCCCGCCAAGACCTTGTCTCTAAAAATACTAATAAATAAAATGTTCTATCATTCCAGGTAAAAAATATTTTCAAATAACCACACTGAAATGAAAATATAAATTTAGTGGCAATGTATGATAACCTTAGTGTTTTGTCCCTTTTAAAAGTATAATGAAAGAAAATTACGGTTTAACACAGCAAATTTCTCCCACAAGAAAATGAACCACGTCCCTAAACTGTCCTTGTGTGGATTACACATAGAATTCCTAGAAGCCAACATTAAGTATACAAATGGATTTCTCTTTTCATATTAACTTAAAAAAATTTGCCACCTTTGATTGCACAGATTAAGTATGAAATGTCCGATTTCTTTAAGTACTAAGTATGACAGTTGGTATCTCTGACATTTCACTTTGACACTTCTTGTTTTATTTTTATTGTGAAAGTACATCCTCAGTCTTTCAAATGAACATTTTGGCTTGTGATTATCTTTCGGTTTTTTTTTTTTTAGAGCAATTTTTGTGAAACCATGGATAAGTCAAAAATTTGTGTTACTTATTTAGTTATCTAGTTAGTCATTTTAGACAGTCTTGCTCTGTCGCCTGGGCTAGAGTGCCGTGGTGTCAGCCTAGCTCACAGCAACCTCAAACTCTTGGGCTCAAGCGATCCTCCTGCCTCAGCCTCCTGAGTAGCTGAGACTACAGGCATGCACCAACCACTACATCTGGCTAATTTTTTTATTTTTAGTAGAGACTCTTGCTCAGGGCTCAGGCTGGTCTCGAACTCCTGAGCTCAAGCGATCCTCCTGCCTCAGCCTCTCAGAGTGCTAGGATTACAGGCATAAGCCACTGCACCCAGCCTGTTATTTTCAAATATGAGTTCCGTCGTGGAACCAAAGCAGCGCAGACAGCTCAAAATATCAGTGAATTGTTTCAGAAGGATGTGGCTAATGAATACACAGTACGTCGATGGTTTGAGAAGTTCCTCTCTGGTGATTTTAGTCTTGAAAATGAGCCATGTGGGTGACCTGAGACCAAGGTAGATAATGATGAGCTGAAAGCTATAGTGGAAGCAAATCCATCTCAACCTATGCATAAATTAGTAGCAACATTTGACATCACTATTCCAACAATATCGGACCACTGGAAACAAATCGGCAAGGTAAAGAAGCTGGATAGATGGGTTCTGCATGAATTAAACAAGTATCAGCAGAGAAATCGTCTCGAAGCTTGTCTTTCTTCATTGTCATGACATAAAGACGAACCGTTTTATACCGTATTGTTACATGTGAGGAAAAATGGAGTCTTTTTGACAATTGCAAGTGTTCAGCACAATGGTTGGGTAAAGATGAAGTGCTGAAACACAGTCCAAAACCGAATATTCATCCAAAAAAGCTAATGGTGCCTGGTAGTCCAGTGCTGGTATTATCCACTACAGCTTCATGAAACCTGGTCAATCAATTATAGCAGATGTCTACTGCAACCAATGGGACAAAATGATGAGGATGCTTGCGATTAAGCAGCCGAGATTGGTCAGGAGAGACAGGCCAATCCTCATGATAAAGACAACACTGCTCAAACTACAGAGGCTGGACTTGCAAACTCTGTCATCCACCATATTCACCAGACCTTGCACCAACTGACTACCACTTCTTTCAGGCTTTGGACCACTTTGTGCAAGGAAATTCTCAGGCTGTGGAAAACGCCTTTTGAGATCTCATCGCCACTCGCTCTCCAGGCTTCTTTGCTGCTGGAGTAAACAAGGTACCATTAAGATGGCAAAACTGTGTTGATAGTTTACGTGCATACTGTGATTAATTGTACTGCTTCTTGTCTGAGATATAATAAACTACAGTTTTAATTTGAAATCGGACATTTCATATTTAATGACTTATATTTAATGGTGTGATAGCTTCATATCATCAGATACTTACTTGAAAAGTTAATTTCAACTAAGGCCTCTAAAGAATGTCATTTTCTTTTATAGGACTATAAGACCTACCTGGACTTTGTTCTTGCATTAGAAAACAGAAAGGAACCTGCAGCTCTGCAATATATTTTCAAACTGCTTGATATTGAGAACAAAGGCTATCTGAATGTCTTTTCCCTTAATTATTTCTTTAGGGTAAGTATCATTTGTGTAAATGATTCATTATTCCTTAAGATATGTTAGACCAATTGGTTTAAATTACCTAGTGATAGTTTTACCTAACTTGTGATTTTTTTAACAAAAGGATTTACATAACAGATTTCAGAAGGAAATTAAGTCTGTTTATAGGGTTTCTTTCTATTTTTTAAAAATATAAATGGGCTAAATCAAAGCTGACTTACTAGTTGTAGAATACTAAAAAAGTTACGTGAATAAATATGTCAGGGACTGTACTAGCCATTGGAGATAGAAACACGTGAGATCTTCTGCACTCTTGTTGATCAAAAACTCATGTGTAAAATCCTAAGCTTTAATAAACAGTTCAGAAAAGGTAGCTCCTTTCCACAGAGGTTTTAGAGATTTTCACAGTTGTAGATTCTTTTGTTATATTGAAGAAAATAAAAATTTTTTAACTGTCTAGAATTGTGTGCTGCATTTCAGTCTGAAACAGATTTGTTGAAGCAATTATTTTATGCTTTAGTTGGTCTCAAAGAATAAGATGATGGGGCTCTGAAGTGGAATATTTATATGATAAGCATTCAGATGCAAAAGGTGTATAAGTAGAAATGTCTGTCCTTGACTTGAATGGTAACTTTTCCACTTGATGGAGTATTATTAATAATAGTTTTGTTCAGTAGTATTCTACTCTATCATCATATATTCATAGCTGGATTTTAGAAGACCATGTGATTTTTATATGGTCAAGATCAACAGCAGGATCTTTTAAAACAATAAAAATGACATTTTCACATCTTTGTCATAAATCATTTTCCCCCAGAGACTTTTTGTTTTTTTTGAGACAGAGTCTCACTGTGTTGCCCGGGCTAGAGTGCCGTGGCGTCAGCCTAGCTCACAGCAACCTCAGACTCCTGGGCTCAAGCCTCCCAAGTAGCTGGGACTACAGGCATGTGCCACCATGCCCGGCTAATTTTTTCTATATATTTTTAGTTGTCCGATTAATTTCTTTCTATTTTTAGTAGAGACGGGGTCTCGCTCTTGCTCAGGCTGGTTTCGAACTCCTGAGCTCAAACAATCCACCCGCCTCAGCCTCCCAGAGTGCTAGGATTACAGGCGTGAGCCACCACACCCGGCCTCCCCCAGAGACTTTTTCTTTCCATTTAGTATTTTGGAAGCTGGGCGCAGTGGTTCACTCTGTAATCCCAGCACTCTGGGAGGCTGAGAGGTAGGATTGCTTGTGGCCAGGAGTTCAAGACTAGCTCGGGCAACATAGCAAGACCCTTTCTCAAAAAAAAAAAAAATTTTTAATTTTTGGTACTCTATCTGGTGTCTGAATTCATCCTTATGAGTCTCATGATATATATATTTTACAGATTTTTTTTAGGTAGTAATGACTGCAAATATTAGAAGGATAAATTATAATCACAGTATTAGAATATATTTTTTAAAAACTGAATGCTATATGGGCTTATATCAGTTGCTAACCTGAGAAGATAAATACCAACTGATCACAGGGATGCCCTCTATAGACAGACCTATTAAGTAAAAACAAAGTAAATATGTCTTGGAAATAAAACATGGAAATCCTTTTTCATAAGGATTTCTTTGTATTAATAGCATCTTTTACCCTGAGAATATTAAATTTTGTTTAAAAAAATTGTAAAAGTATTTCATACATGCATCTGTTTTATCAAAGCTTATTTAGGCTTGGTTGTGTGGATAAGTTAAAAAGTTTCTGGTGCTAAGGCCTATAATCCTGGGCTATTCATGGAGACTTTGAACATCAATATCCCAGTGATAAAGCTGGGCCTGGATGGTGTACTCTATTATAAAAGGGAAGAGTTTGAGGAGGTCTACCTCTTTATCTATTTTGTAGAAAGCAAAGTGCAGGGTAGGAAGGGAGATAGTAAATTGATAGCCTTAAGAGAATGGTGAAGGTGTGAACAATATTCATGGCAAATGGAAGGAGATCATAATAATTGCGAAGCCATGTGAGAGAGGGGATATTGTGTATTTCATTTTTTATTTACAGATTTATTTTCACTAAATATAGGCCATACAGGAACTAATGAAAATCCATGGACAAGATCCTGTTTCATTTCAAGACGTAAAGGTTATCTTTTCCTTTAATTTACATAATATTACCAGATGATATTATCATAATACCACCAGATAATCATTTGTAGTACATGAAATTTTGTATGAAAGCAACTTATGAAACACTATACTGAATCAGGTATTTGCTGTCATTTGTTCTGTGTTGATATCTAAATCATTAGAAACTGAGACTACATTTGGACTAATGATGGATTTATGTAGTTTATAATTTTAGTATTGTCAGCCTTGTGTTATCATTGGAAGGATGCATTTCATTTTAATTAAAAATTAAGAGAATCAGTATAGCCTACATCCTTTGGCAGTCTATTCCACAGTAAACTGAATTTTTAACTTGGGAACTACTTAGGTAGTGAACAGGATTCTGTTCACTCTGATATCATATTAGATTTAAGGAGACATCAGTCCTACAATATGAAAATGACCACTGTTTGAAACACATGCTGCTACTTAGCAGTTCAGTAACCAGACTCACCATCTCTGAAATAACATTTCAGTACCCAGTACCCATTCAGTTCAGGTTGATTAACATAATAAAATACCCTGACCCATTTTAACCAAGTGTAAGATAAAGAGCTATTTTGGTTTAATATGAGACATATTTGAAACTTTGCCTCAAGCAGTTTAAGAACCAGCAATTTTTAAAGTGCAGCCAATCTAGAAAAGGAAATTTCACAAAGATTAAAAGGTCTTTTTAAAACGTATTTGTGCCTCCTTAAATGCTACTGAATATTTTTTTTTTTTTTTGCTACTGAATATTCTTGAGTAATTTTACTACAGAAGACTAGAAAACATGTACTGATTCCTTATAAATATTTATATTGTGCACTTCATTATACAGGAGAGGTTCTTCTATCTGTTCCAATAAGTTTTCGCACAATTTAGCATCATTCTGGATAACTAATTCTTTAATGCTAACTAAACTTCCCTCCCCTCTCCATCCTAGGTCCAAAGTAAAAGGTTGACATGAATATTGGAAATGAAGCTTTGTCACTATCTCTGAAACATTTAAGGGTTTACTTTAACTGAGCTGAGTTTTTATTAAACCAAGACCTTGTTCCACCACCAATAAGGCAACTGAAAAATATAAGGAGTTAGTTAACATGTATTCAGAGAACACTGCACTAGATAGTTCTGCCACTAATTAGCTACGTAGCTTGGATTAGATTAAACTCTGAGTCGTGGTTTTTTCATCTATAAAATGAAGGATAGCTACCACATAGCTGAGGAATCTGCCATATAAAATTGTATGATTGTAGGTAAAGGAAATTGCCTCTCTGTTAAATGGAAAAGAAAAAAAAGTGGAACAAAAACTTTTTACGTAAGCTCAAGTGGCAGCCCTGAACTTAAGATCACTGTGTGTGTTAGAAATTAAGTGAATCAGATTTCATTGTATTTTTTTCTCTTTTGCAGGATGAAATCTTTGACATGGTAAAACCAAAGGACCCTTTGAAAATCTCTCTTCAGGATTTAATCAACAGTAATCAAGGAGACACAGTCACCACCATTCTAATCGATCTGAATGGCTTCTGGACTTATGAGAACAGGGAAGTTCTTGTTGCAAATGACAATGAAAACTCTGGAGACCTTGATGATACATGATCTCTGAAAGACTAGACTGTCTTCATTAAGATATCCTTGGATGCCGCATGCATAACCTTTGAAGCAGAATCCTTAGAAATGGTCTAAATAAAACACTTCATATGCCTAGAGAACACAGCAGATGTTTTGGTTACTGGAATTTTGGTTACAATAGTTTGGAAGTAGGACCAAATATTACTTTTTAGGAGGTGGTAAGCTCTGGTTCCATTTAGCCCAAAGATGGGAAATGTGATTTGCTGTAGTTAGAAGGTATTCAGTTTAAATCTGTGTAATCTATACAGATAAAGTTTTCATGGAATATTTCTGACATTAGTCATTCAGAATTTAAATATTTTAGGGATAGTTTAAATTATTAATATGGTCATTTAACCTTCAGTCTTATAAAATGTGTATCAAAGATTACAGACTTTCCCATTCATTAAAGTAGAGCCATTTTATTTCTGGGTTAGAAGTGTTCGGACGTGATCTTTCTTTTAATAGGATGTTTCAATAAAAAATATTTAAACTAATATTTTACTTTCATTAAAATCATTGGTATAAAAAATTTGTCTAGTTTTATTAACCAGTGCCAAGATTACATTCTATAAGACCTAACTCCATATTGTTAAGGATTTTTTGTTAAAGATTTTATGTCAATTCAGTTTGTAAAGGGTCTTCAATTATACTGTTGTATTTCATTTTTATGAGATGAAAGATTAGAAGAAGGTAGAATATCGTGAACTATGATACAAAGGGAACAGTAACTCTTAAAAGGGTTGAAAAGGAAGTAGGAAAAAGTGAAAGAAGCTTAAAATAAGACAGTTTAATGCATTTATGGGAAATTTTATAGTTTGCATAAACAAAAAAGTATAAAATTTAAGGCACAGTGAATAACTATATTTAAACATTATAAACTGGCCACTATTGGACAAGTATCAAAAGTAAAATTGAAGAAACATAAAATCTTCATAAGTTACTATCTTCCTTAAACTACAATCAGAAAAGTTTGTAGGTAAACTCTTAGATACTAGTGCCTTTAGGGAGAGAAGATTCAGAAGATCATCTTTAGACATAACCTACTGTCACTTGATAACCTAATACATATCTGAGTTGTAGGTACTAACTCAAATGAAATGAAAAACAAATTGGAGAGAAATCAGGTTAGCATGTTTTAGAGCTATTGGTAAACTATAATTTATGGGACATTAATTACATAATCTTTTAAGCACTAAGTTATAAAGAGTTTATACTCATTAATAAAATGATTACCATCACTTACTATGAACCATATTCATGGTTACATATTCATGTTTATGCTGTAACTGAAGACTCTTAATGAGTTTAATTATCCTTCCTACATTCTTCAACTTCCACTTAAAGAACTTACTTCATGTTTACTGACAACAGATTTCCATAATAGACCCACTGTACATACATTGTCAGTTTCTCTGAAGCTATATTTTATATAGATATATTTAAGATTGAATACATAATGCTGTTTAGAAGGCTATTAACATAAACATTAATTTCTAAAAGCTCATTTAAGTTTGTGAAGAGGCTTTTCAGATCAAATGTCTAAAACACTCCACACATTCTCTCTTACCTACATTTAGTTATAAATCAAAGTTATTTACAAAGTTAGTTACAGGTATCTCAAAAAGGTTCTGTATGCACATTTAGGAATTTAAAAAATTAGCTTTATACTATATACCTTTATAAGGTTTGCAAATATCTCAGTAGGTAGAGAAATGGCCCATGCGTTCAAGTAAACTATCCACCTTACTGTTGCTACTTTAAAATGGTGAATGATACATAAATTCATTATGCTACCATTGCACCTTGTACAGTATTTGACACCTGCTGATGGGTTAAATCTACACCTATCCCCCATCCTCTCTTTTCTCAAACTACTTTGCCTATGGGAGGCATTTAGTGCTGAATGAGTGACATAACCAGAATGCCATATGAACAATCACTAGGTATTACCACTTGAATAAAAATACACTACAAATTCATTCCATAACTAGCATTTTTAACATTAGTTCAAAGCTATTTAATTTGAATAACTACTGAAAAAGAATATCAAGTAACTTGTATTGAAAAATGGAAACCCATCTTAATATTTGCTGTTATAAACTCCACTTTTCCATAACAATAGTCTCAATGAAAGAAAATTCAAAGTGCGTCCATCTTGCTCCTTTTATTATACACTTAGTGAACCATCCTTAGTATGAAATTAATGGTTAGATATATAAATTCAAGGCCTAACATGAGAAAATATAGGGGACAAAATCCTCATTTTAATCTGAGACTGTTAAGATTATCAGATCCAATTAGCCTTCATCAGCAACTTACCTTTTTATTAACAAATGCACAAATTACAGACAAGCTTGATGACTTAACTCTTCTTAATTGGTGATTATGGTTCTAGAATGTTCTTTTTAAAAAAATCATTTTAAAACCAAAGCACTAATTTGACACAGTAAAAACAGTACAAATACCCAAATTTCAGAGCTGGCTTTTGCTAGATAGAGACTAAGAATGAAGAAACATTTTCCCTTTCCAGATAATAATTTAGAACATAAATAACTGTATTAAGTTCCACTGAATAGAGAATATGAAAGTTCTTGGTATATAAAAAAAAAAGAAACCTTAGTGTTTGAAGTTTGATAGTCATTTCATTCTACGGTGGGACAGAGACTGGATTTTGTTTGCTTTCCATAATTACTTCAGTGTCTCCCTCCATTTCAAAATTGAGATTCACAAATGAACTCGATACCACTGTTTCTGGTTGATCTGTCTGAACAATGGAATCGGTCTGTCGTTTATTCTGCTGGTATTGTCTTTCTGCTTCTTCAGACATCCTGTTTTCTTCCTCCTCCTCTTCTTCCTACAAAGGGGAAATATCAAGAATAGTTGAAATATAAATATCCAAAAGGAATAGTATTTCTTCTCCCACTGTCAGCTTCTTGTGTCTTTTTTAAACCAAAACATCAGTGTCATGTCCAATTCAGTTTGGTCTAATTATGACTTACTTTCCCTTCCCCTGTTCCCAAAATGAAACGATGACTATTGTAAAACACTTTAAGGAAAGTGAAGTTACCTGAATTGCTGCCCTCAATTTGCTTGAAGAATGGTCCAGCACAACTTAGCTTAAATGAGACCTGAATTAACTTTGACAGTGGCTATGAATTTTTTCAGATTAAGTTTAATCTAAATTAAAAATTAGCTAATACTATATCACTTCAATTATAGAATGTCAGCCTATTCAGTTGAATAGGCTAGTTCATTCACAAAATGGTATAACATGATTAGTTTTCCCATAAGCACCTAATATACAGACAAAGCAGTCCAGGTCCTCAAGAAGTTTATAATCTAACAGAAAAGTTAAGACATGTAAAAATACTATTAAGACAGAAAGAAATAAGCACTATAGAGATTTAGAAAGAGTAATTTCTAGTTACAGAACTACTAAATTCATTGAGGAGATGGCATTTGTATTGGACCCTACAGTATGGGTACTCAGAACACAGTGAGTAACCCAGGAAGATTAATCTGAGGCTTGCTTGAAAATAAGAGAGACCATTTAGGAGGCTAATACAATAGTCCAGATGAGGTAATGAGGCTTTAAACAAGGCTCATAGTGTTAAAAATACTTGTTTGTTCATAAAACATGTTTGAAACCACACAACAAATATAAAGTCAGCTGACCTTTCCAGACTCATCCCAGCCCAGCCATTCCCTCATTGTACCCTATGATCCAGTGACAGTAAACTACTATTTTGCCATCACCCCAAACATACAATGCATTTTCATGCCTCTATATTCTAGCTTTACCTGAACTGCTGCCCTTGATTTACTTGAATAACAAATTATAATATTTGTGTGCTCATCAATATACACTAGATGCTGTTCTAAACATTTATGTATTAACTCATTTAATCCTTAGAGCAACCTTGAGCATGGATGCTGCAATTCTCCTTATTATAAAGATGAGGAAACTGAAGCTTATATAGGTTAAGTATCTTGCCCAAAGTTATAAAGTTATAAGTGGCAGAGACAGATTTTGAATTCAGGACCTTTGGTTCTTGAGCTCTAGAGTTAGTTTGGTTCTTAAGCACTAAAGCTTTTTCCTTCTTTAAGTCTAAACTCAATTCACCCTCACCTTGAGACCTTATACTTCTGCAGACAGTTGCCCTCACATCTTTGTGCATTGACAACTGGCACATACACATTCCTAGTACTTACAATTTTCTGCGCATCAAACCAACTACACTTCTCCTATGACCAGTACATGTACTCTAAGTACAGAGACTGGGTCTTGTTTCTTCATCTTAAAATTAGAATAATAATCCAAATAGAGGTATATGAAGATTAAATAACATATATGAGGCACCTCACATAGCACTAGCACAATGAAATCTAGCTTAGTTGTGCATATAGATCCTAGGGAAATTCCAGTTTTAAAGAATTCTAAAATGTATGTTAATTTGGTAAAGAAATTAATGACTCTAGAATGGAATCCCTAGCATAAGGGAGCTATCTTTTGAGCAGCTAGAGAATACATATGCTCATTATGCAGTCCATCAAGTCCACAGAAAACCAAACTGAATCAAGACAACGTAAAAAGGAGACACACCTCCTTCTTCATCCGGTAATACTCATCAATGGCATACTGGTACTTTGGGGTGCTGATGCCCAAAACAGATGCAATTTTCTCTCCAAGAAAGTCACACACTAAAGATACAAAAGTTAAAATTCCAAAAACACTTCATAAGCACTTTCTATGTGTAAGACACAGTAGGAATACAAGAGTTACTATTCCCACCCTCAAAGAGATTATAAAAACCCAATATATTTCTCTCTTCTGTTAACCTTCCCTGATTCCTCCAAGAAGTATTAGTAGCTGCTTCTGGGCTCCCAACAATAGTCTATTCATATCTCCATTAATACACTTATCACCAGGTATTATAATTATCTGTTACATGACTATATTTTTAAGAAAAATTTATACTCTTAGAGGGTTGGGATATCAGTGGCCTAAAGGAGAGGAATAGTGTTGTACTTACAACACTAAGTGCCTACCATGTGCCAGGCACTTGAAAGGTTAGGATTAGACAGGTTAAAGAACTTGCCCCAACTGACAAACAAGATCCAAAATTCAAATCTAGGTCTGAATCTAAAGCTCATGCTCTTTCTATTATTATACCAGACTGTCTAGCAAGTATAGGATAGCACTCATATAATGAGTGTTCAGTAAATGTTTGTTGAATCAATTACTATTCACAATTAGCCCTAATAAAAAGCAGAAAGTTATAGAAGCTATGAGGAGGTTAAAATTGGAAGCAGAGGAAAGTTTTATAATTTAAAACCTGTATTTAAAATTAGCATTAAGTCATAAGTTGATTATTCATTCCTTCAAGTATGACTTAAATATCAATTTAATAAATATGTATGAAATAAAAATATAAATAAACTGTAACTACAGGCTTTAGAATAAGCAGTGAGACAGAATGAGAACAATACCAGTGGGAGACCAAATCAAGCAACACAGCAGCAAAATAATTGCTAACAGAAAGGGTTTAAGAACATGAAAAACGTATCTAAACTAATATAGTCATTCTTCAGTTCTTTTTTCCCTTAAACATAATCAGAAGCTGAAGAATGTTTTCAGGTGAAGTACAAGTTAGGTTAATATCTTCCAATGCTAACTAGCTTCTGAGGATGGAATAATTAACTCCTTATTATTTCTCCTTTAGTTTGGAAACATCCCATTTGGTGAAGCTCTTGTTCTTTGAGCATATTACAGCAATTATACAATATTCAAACAGAAAAACAATACCTGAGAGGGTTGATGTGGCAGCCCGAAGCATGTAAAACCATAAATAGGGACCCCAGGTAAGTTTTGTCTGCAACAAGAAGTCAGATTAGCAACATTCATATCTAAACTCACTCTATATATTTTCGCCAGAATGAAGTAGTCAAACAATTGGTAGGAACAGAGAATATTCTACAGGCAGTACTACAAGTAGACTGCAATCCAATAAAAAATTTTAAATCATAAAGATAGAATTCCAAAGAGATATACACACACACACACACACACACACACACACACACATATAGATATAGATATATATTTTACTTCTATGATAGGATTTTTAACAGCTACAGAGTTGGTGACAGTATTCTTAAGGTTTACCCAGCCTTCTGGGATAATGAATTTTGCCTTCCATTTCAGAGATTTTTTTCCTGTAACAGAAAACTTTTCCTCTGTAACTGAGAATACTGCCTGGACATTATGGGTATCATCAGAGAACATGGTCATTTCTCTCTCTTTTTTCTTTAGCCAAACTGCAGTAGCTGGAGAAAGGGCTTTATTATATCTGTAGCAAAGTTCCTGGCCACAAAATTTTGGCTATATCTATAAAATTCTAATTCCAGGTGAGAGGACAGTATAAACTTAATTTTTCTGAAAACTGCAAAGGAGAGGAATAGAGATAGACACCAATGAGTTGCAGGTATCGTCATGTATGCTGAGTGCACAAACCTTCTGCTAGCTGGGCAGGCCCAGTTGCCCAGAGCATGGCAGGCTTTTCATGAGCAGAGCCACTAAGATGTTGACCGCTCAGGATTTCACTGTGGGGCTGCTGGGGCATAGAAAGCCTGGTACAAAGAGCATGTTATCCTTTTCAACTGTGGCACCCTTTCAGATTTAAGAGTTTGAGCTGACAGGAACATGAGACCGGTTAACTGTATTAATTCTTGGATTTATTCCTAAGTGACTTTCTCTCTACACAAGTCTTCTGAATGTCTGCTTGATGGCAAGGGAAGAAAGGGGATGTTCTTTTTGTTCCATTTCTACCTGTCCTTGAATTTCCTCCCCCATCTCTACTTCATCCAATGGATTTGTCTCTACATGATGTTTCTGATACCCCTATATTCTGTTTCCAAACACCACTCTCTACAAAGATATTTTACATTCACTCATATAACTACCACCTAGTTAAGCCCATAAAAAAAAAAAAAAAAAAAAAAAAAAAAAAAAAAAAAATGGAGCCACTGAAATGGAATTGGTAAATCACAGTCTAGATTATTTAGAGGTTGATAATCCAGAGGCTTCCTTTCCCATCTTGCTGCTTTTTTGTCTTCACTGTTTACTTTTTTTTTTAATTAAAAATTTTTTTATCTATATATATATTTTTAGTTGTCCAGATAATTTCTTTCTATTTTTTAGTAGAGATAGGGTCTCACTCTTGCTCAGGCTAGTATCAAACTCCTGACCTTGAGCGATTCACCCGCCTCGGCCTCCCAGAGTGCTAGGATTACAGGCGTGAGCCGCCGTGCCCGGCCTGTCTTCATTGTTTATAATCATAATACCAGAGAAGGTGTATAATTGATAGAAAGGACCTTAAAGACTCATACAGTCTGACATACTTATAGTGGGGAAATTAAAGCTCAAAGAAATTAAGCAGGATAAGTAAGGGCATATCAAATGAGTTTTTAATGGTGGGACAATAAGGGACAAATAAGTGGCAAGGTAAGTTTTGTATCTTTAAGGATTAGAAAAGGACTAGACCATACAACCCAAGACAAGCTCAGTGTATGCTGGTAAGCCACGTCCACTGGCAGAATGCAATCAACACTGCATACCTCCATAGCTAATCTTGGTTCTAGATTCCATAGAGTATTTTGTCAAGCTTGCCAAAGAGATGATAGTTTGACTCTGTGGATGAAAAACCAGTAATACAGGCATGCTTCATTATACCAATATTTTGTTTATCAAAAGAAAACATAGTAAAGAGAGTACGATCAATCAAATACATTAATAATTGTTTTTTTTGTTTGGGGGGTGTGTGTGTGTGTGGTTTTTTGTTTTTGTTTTTTGAGACGGGGTCTTGCTCTGTCACCTGGGCTAGCGTGCAGTGGTGTCATCATAGCCCACTGTAACCTCAAATTCCCGGGCTCAAGCGATCCTCCTGCCTCAGCCTCCCAAGTAGCTGGGACTACAGGTGTGCACCACCAAGTCTCGCTAATTTTTCTGTTTTTTGTAGAGATGGGGTCTCACTCTTGCTGACGCTGGTCTTGAACTCCTGACCTCAAGCAATCCTCCCACCTCAGCCTCCCAAAGTACTAGGATTACAGATATGAGCCATGTGTCTGGCCAATAATTGTTTTAATATTGTTTCCAAGGAAAGGAGAAAGAGAAAATTTGTCCATAATCTTATGATTATGAGCACATTAAAAATGTAAACACAAGAATATCTGTTAAGATTGAGTAGATGGGTGAAAGTAGAGAGAAGGAAGCAAATGACACAGTCTTACTATAAAAAGTAGGTATGCCAATTTCTGTGATATTGTTCCTGAAAAGACATAGAAGTAAGGCAGTTCATTTTTCTCCATTTACTCAAGAATAAATGTCCAAATAATTCAACCAAGAAAATACGGATATTACTGACTCCCTAGATCAAATTTGCTATATCTTCTATATTCAGAGAAGGATGGGTCTGTTATGTGGATAAGGGTTACTTTAGGGGCTCTATTTAAGATGCTCTGATCTTATGGTTTACAGGAAATGGGAAAGTGGCAGAAGTATAAGGAAGTGGAGCCAATTTCTATAACATGTAATAAATGATAAAGCCAGGAAACTACTTAGAAAAAGTGCTCTGGAGCAAAGTACACAGTTGGCCATTAAACAAAAATGGTTTGAAATGCATGGATCAACTTAAACATGGATTTTTTTTCGATAAATATACTGGAAAAATTTTTGGAGATTTGCAACAATTTAAAAAAATTCACAGACAAACCTTATAGCCTAGAAATATCAGAAAAAAAGAAAAAGGTATGTCATGAATGCATAAAATATACATAGACAATAGTCTATTTTATCATTTAGCACCATAAAATATACACAAATCTGCTATAAAAATTTTAAATTTATCAAAACTTTCACAAACACAAACCATACATGGTAGCATTTGCAGTCAAGAGAACAAACATAAAGATGCAGTATTAATCATAACAGCATAAAATCAGCTGTGGTAATACTGTACTACTGTAATAATTTCACGGCCCCCTCCTGTTACTATTGCAGTGAGAGCAAGTGTTTTTTTTTTTTTTATTTCAGCATATTATGGGGGTACAGATGTTTAGGTTATGTATGTTGCCCTTGCCCCCCCCATCCCCCTTCCC